CATGGGTTAGAGTTGGTATAAATGAGTGTTTCGCAGAACCTTTGGATATCAGTTCTCATCTAGCATTCCAATCAAGCAGATCAATACAGTTTGAAACATGGTTAAGGTAATTTATTGTTGAATGTATGTTTCAGAAAATTGTAAATTGTGGTTCTTTAGTTCGTTCTAGTCCTTGCTCTGGCAGTTGTGGCCGTGTCAGCCCAATGGGAAGGCGGCTATGGTGGTGAACATCATCATCATGAGGAACATCATTCCCATCCAAAGTACAAGTTCGAGTACGGCGTTAAGGATTCCAAAACCGGAGATCACAAGAGTCAGTGGGAACACCGCGATGGAGATGTTGTGAAGGGCCAGTACTCGCTGCATGAGGCCGATGGCACGGAGCGTATTGTGGAATACACTTCCGACAAGCATAATGGATTCCAGGCCCATGTGAAACGCGTTGGCCATGCTCACCACCCACAGGTGTATGGACACCATGAGGGAGGCTATGGAGGTGAAGAGGCTTCTTTTGGAGGACACGGACACGGACATGGTCATGCCAGCAGCTACGCCAATTCGAACCTGCATTCGTATCATCATTAAGTTCTGCTTAATATAGACTGATCTCAAATTGTTCCGCATCTTTTACACTCTGTTCTGAACTCCTGTAAATAAATTTTATATTTTCTTAGTTTATGTTTTTAATATGGAACAATATTTCTATATACACCATTCGTTTCCAAATGGTGAATTGAGGTATTTATTGGGGTGCTTCATTTTGGAAAAAGTTTATGCAATCTTATAGGTCATCCTCAAGTTTCATTAATAACCCCAAAATAGGTGGATTGGCAAAAGATGGTTAATATTGATCATTCATTGATGAAGGTTTAGAGGTTGCGCAAATGGTTTGAAGTTTATTCGAGGATTCCTATAGAAGACATTTAAATTTCTCAAATATCGCTCTAACCTTGGTTCTAATAGTTCAAATACTGAACAAATTTTATATGTGGCTGCTATGACAATGACCAACAAGCTGGTTACTATCAGTTTGGTAGCAACGTTTTGGAAAAAGTTGGAAGGTGGTGTACAAGACACGATCGTATTGTTGACGTAGCACTATGAAGTATTTGTTCGATTTTCTTGTTTGTTGCTTCAGATATATTTTTTTTTTTGAGTAAAGTAAATTTTGTAACTCAACTCTTTTGTAAAAAGTTTTGTTGATGTTTTTTTCTATTCATTCACCTACATCTGCAAAATACAGTAAAGAGGGGCATATAATGCTTATCTAAATGCTTAAGTAAGGGAAACGTAGAAAGTTTGAATGCAGCCCGAAACAAGCCAACGCCAGGGATGGATCCGCTGCAGACCTGCGGAGGGATATTATCAAGATAACACGATGCCGTGGAAAGTACATCATCGCTGGCGACGTGAACGCCAAACATCAAGCTTGGGGCAACCAAAGGCGGAATCCGTACGGCACCATCCTAAACGACGACCTGCAAGAGACCCAGTACACCAACCTGGCGCCTGACGCTCCCACTCGGCTGAGCCGGTTCGGCGTGCACTCCATCATCGATATCTTCGTCAGCAACATGGAGAACATCTCCCAACCGGTAGGCCATCAAGAGTTAAGCTCGGACCACTTTCTGGTGGTGGCCGAGGTGGGCTCCTCTGCTAATCGATTTCATGCTTCCCGTCGGAATTACCATCGGGTAAACTGGAATCGGTTCCAACAAGTCGTCTACAAAGCCATCGATTTCGGCGCCCTACTGGAGACGACTGATGACATCGATAGATCTATTTGTGCCGTCGAGGACGCGGTATCCCGAGCCCGCGAACAACACGTGCCAGCTTACTGACGGGTGAGTAATTCTCTGAACCTTGATCAGAATACTAAAAGCCTAATCAGACTTCGTAACGCCATGCGTAGGCAGTACCAGAGAACTGGACTGCTTTTTCTATTCATTCACCTACATCAGCAAAATACAGAAAAAAGAAGGGGCATAGAATGCTAATCTAAATGCTTAAGTAAACGAAACGTAGGTCAACACTTCGTCAGCTTCCATAATCTCGGACAAAACATCGTCAGCCCTCACGAAGCTGAGGTTGCTGAAAATGTATCCAATCTCCACCAGTTTCCTAACATCTTTCCCGAGGAATCCGAGATCACGGGTGATGAACTTATATCAAAATTTCCAAAAACAGGTTTCGACGACATCCTGAATCTGGACCTCAAGCACTTGAGTTCCAGATTCTACAACCATCTCCGAATTGGCTACTTTCCCTCGTGCTGTAAGTTAGCTAAAGTCATCCCCATTCGAAAACCTGGGAAGGATCTTTCCTCTCCTTCAAGTTACCCACCCATCAGCCTTCTCGCAGGGTTATCCAAGCTGTTCGAAAGAGCAGTTTACAGCTGGCTTCTAACATCTGCCGAAGAAAACAACATCTTACTCGAGAAGCAGTTTGGTTTTCGAAAAGGTCGATCAACCGTCCACCAACTGACCCGAGTAACAAACATTCTTAGACGGAACAAGGCTGTTCCAAAAACATCTGCTATGGCATTTTTAGACGTTGAAAAAGCCTTTGACAATGTCTGGCATGGTGGCTTGGTGTACAAGTTGCATCGATACAGTCTTCCGATCTTCCTCATGAAGATCATTCAACATTATCTATCGTACAGGACGTTACAGGTCTCTCTCAATGGCATCACATCGGATGCCTTTAACATCGGTGCAGGTGTGCCCCAAAGAAGTGTCCTTGGGCCCATCCTGTTCAATCTTTTCACCTCCGATATTCCGACTCTTCAAGATGGTGGATCGTTGTCTCTGTTTGCAGACGACCATCCATCGTCTACAAGGGTAGGGTCATCGGAGCTCTGACTACCAAACTCCAGAGAGGCTTGGATGTCCTGTCTGAGTATTTCAATAGCTGGAAGATCCATATCAACGTGGCGAAGACCCAGGTCATAATTTTTTCACACTCAAAATCTTCAAGACTTGTTCCGTCTGAGAATAACAAAATCTGCCTAAACGGAACAGTGGTAGAGTGGTCCAAAGAGGTAGTCTACCTCGGACTAACACAAACAAAATGCAACATCTTGATAAGGTCGTTGTAACCGCTAATCAATAGGATATCCACCCTATCCCTGAAAAACAAGCTTGCTGTATACAAGAAAATAATCCTTCTCGTCATAGAGTACGGGTTACCAATCTGGGAGAGTTGCACACATTCTCATCACCTCAAACTACAAAGGATCTAGAACAAGATCCTGAGGATCATCCTCAACAGTCCACCGCGTACTAGAAATTCTGAGGTCCACCGCCTGGCTGGTCTTCAGACCTTGGCGTAACGGAGAAATGCTGCCATCAAAAGGTTCAGAGATAGCTGCATGCGATCCGATCAACATATCATTAGGGTTCTGGCACGTAAGGTTAGGCAACTAAGTTAAGTAGGTAGAATATCAATTTTTCTAATTAAAATCAGCAAATATGCTTTCCTTAAAAGCAAAATGTAAACTATTACAATGTAAAACTAAAATCAAACAGTAACTTGTTACAGACATCATAATTAAAGATAAGGAGCTTTCGGGCTTTAATGTACAATAATTGCAAACTACAAGACAATAAGTAAATAAACACACATTTTAGTTAGTAGTAAAGTTTGAATGCAGTCGTCGCTTGACTGCCGAGTGATAAACAAGCGACTGACACCGCTTGCCTTTGCTCACACAGCATATAATTGAGGAATTAGGGTAGAGCACTACTTCGTCGTAATCGCCCATTTCCGTTCTGTCGATCAGAAAAGATCAATAATATCAATGATTTCAACATGCACAAATCAATAATAGGTTTGTTCCGATGCGTTAGTTCGTTAGCTACAACATAAATCCTGTTAGAGTGCATTGTATGAATATTTATGCTCGTTATTCTCAAAACAAAAGAAGTGCTCCTAGCGAATCCCCTTTTTCTACGTTTATCCGTAGGACGAAGAAAATCTAATGGCGTTTCAATGCGTTAGGACGGAATTGAAACTCGTAGAACGAATTTAGAATCAAGAAGTAGTGTTAGATTTTAAACAATATCTCAACAATGTGTGGCTCTTTATCAAATCCAATGGTACGTATGGAAAGGACAGAAATATGCCAGTTTTTGTTTGAACTCGTTCAGAAAAGAGAGGTAAAGCACGGGTTGTTCTTAGTGGGCCGGAAATGAGATCAAAAACCCTATTTCCATAGAAAATGTACGATCAGTCATCAGTCACAAAACAAGTATTGGGTACTATCACGGAAGAATAAACGTGCTGACTGAGCTACTGAATGAATGCTCGGCTGTCAGTGACTCGATTACTTCCCAATCATTCAGACTCTCACGAGGCAGTGAATGATGAGGCGGATGGCTGTTCATCTATCTATCTTCTATCTATATATATAAAAATGAATTTCTGTCTGTCTGTCTGACCCTTATAGACTCAGAAACTACTGAACCGATTGGCGTGAAAATTTGTATACAGGGGTTTTTGGAGCCGTGGAAGGTTCTTGTGATGGTTCGAGACCCCTCCCCCTTCTGTAAGGGGGGTCTCCCATACAAATGAAACAGAAATTTCTGCATAACTCGAGAACTAATCAAGCAAATGGAACCAAATTAGGCATGTGGGGGCGAGTGTGGGGGTATAAGGAGATAATCATAGGGGGTAGCCTCTTAGATAATATGGGGGGGGGGGCTACGTACAATATAGCATGCTTTTTTTAAATCGGCGCATAAACTCAAGCTAATATTGAATCCCGAGCAAGACCGGGCACACTCAGCTAGTATACATATAAAAATGACTCATTGAACCCTTGGAGGTATTTTCTTCAGAATTCAAATAGTCTTCCCTGCCCGGTACCATCTTTCTTCGTGCCAATTAGGCCAGTATTGGGAACGGATAAGGAGATTCAAATTCGGCAAATGTTATTCTGAAAAATAATAATTTATTTACAAAAATCAAGGCCAATGAGTTCAGTCTATTCTAAGTAGAATTTAGTGATGATACGAATGCAGGTTCGAATTGGCGTAGCTACTTGCATGACCATGTCCATGTCCTCCGGAAGAAGCCTTTTCACCTCCATATCCTCCCTCATGGTGTCCATTATGCTTGTCGGAAGTATATTCCACAATACGCTCCGTGCCATCGGCCTCATGCAGCGAGTACTGGCCCTTCACAACATCTCCATCGCGGTGTTCCCACTGGCTTTTGTGATCTCCGGTTTTGGAATCCTTAACGCCGTACTCGAACTTGTACTTTGGATGGGAGTGATGTTCCTCATGATGATGATGGTTACCACCATTGCCATCTTCCCATTGGGCTGAAACGACCACGACTGCCAGAGCAAGGACTAGAAGAAACTATAATTCCACGTTACATTATTAAAAATCAATTTAAATCATTCGTTCAAAATACTACCTTCATCATGATTTGAGCTGCTTCGACCACTAGATGCGATCACTAGATTAGAACTGATTCCCACCAGCCATCTAGCGTACTAATTTATACACACGTTTAGTCAATGCAGAACAATAATATGCCACTTACCAGGCAGTAGGAGGCATATAATTTTTTTTATTGGGTTTTAAATTATGAAATCGCCTTAATTAAATAAGCAAATCACGCCTCCCCTGTAAAGCTTGCGACTGAACAAACACGAACGTAGACTACCGTGGTGGAAAAGTCGCATGCTAATGAAGGTTAATGCAGTAGAAGTGCATGGAAATTTGGGTTGGTTTATATTTTGGCAACGATATGCAACTTTTGCTTTTCATTTAATACCTAAGGCAGCGCTGCACAACGCGCAGCCCGGCCGGACGTGGTTGAGATTCTCAGGAGGATCTCAGCAATGATATCATGCCAGTGCAATTTTATTCATCGTTATGAATTTTAATCCAGAATGAATGAGAAATGGACAAATTTCTGCTTGAAACATGTTCATCAGTGTATCTCAAATTTGATCGTACCGCTGTATTTAGATTTTTGAAAAACGACTCTAAAAGCGCAAGTTAAAAAGATACGTCTCTGAATTATTGGCAGCTGACTCAGCATGCATATATCAATAATTATCTCAGTATTAGGCATATTTGGTTGATTTTACTAAAAGTTAGAGCAATTTAAGAAAAATGCCTTGTTCTTGAAAAATCTTATTTTCTTGAAATAAAATGATCATAACTTCTTGAAATTTTGCTCATTTTTAGTCGTAGTAACGATCTTTCATATGTCACTAATTTTACTAAAATTCGTCCATTAGGTAAAAAGTTAAAAAGCGAGCATTTTACTAAAATACATTAAACTTCATACACTTCGAATAAAGACGAAAACTATAGCAATAAATCAATAAACATCTCTTCAACGCCCATCCATTTACTTAACTTACTTAAGGGTCCTGTGCACCACCAGCGGTGCAAAGGGCCAACGTTAAACACTTCCATCCTGGGCGGCTGCTCGCTTTTGCCTTGACCTGGGCCCAGGTCAGATTCCTATCGACTTGCTTAAGGGGAAGCTCACCGGCCCAAAAATAAAAAAAATATTTTCGGTACGTTTTTATTTTTCTAAAAATATTGGGAAAAATTATCAAAAATCCAAGAAAATCAGTTTCTTCCTTAGATTTTTGTCAAAAATTACATGCAAAATTTTTTTCTATCCCATCATGAAAAAAAATTGGACTCTCAGAAAAACCGAAAAGTTGATGTTTTGTGGTTTTTTGAGTCCAACTTTATGCCATAATGACTTATAAAACATGTATTTGCACGTGAATTTTCTTTACAAAATTAGAAAAAATGTGTTTTTTTAGATTTTTGATACTTTTTTTCAATATTTTTGGAAAAATCAAAACGTAATTATTTTTTTCGAAGCGGTGAACTTCCCCTTAATTTCTTTATTGAGGCTCCGCTGCCATGAGCCCCTGGGTCTGCCTCTGCTGCGATGTCATGCGATGTCAATCCAGCGCTTGCTTGCAGATTTCCTTTCCGCCCCGTCGAAGTGCGTGGCCGACCCACCCTCACTTTCGCTCTCGAATTTCTGTTGCTATCGGCTTCTGATGACATCGACGATGGAGCTCGGCATTCGAGATCCAGTTGTGCGGCCACCAGGCACGAATTATATACCGCAGGCATCGGTTGATGTAGACCTGCAGCTTTTGAGTGTTCTCCGCTGATACACACCACGTCTCGCTGGCGTATAACCACACATATTTCACGTTCGAGTTGAAAATTCGGATTTTGGTGCGTTGACTTATCTGGTTGGATCTCCATACGTTTCGTAAACTCGCAAAGGCAGCCCTAGCCTTCTTGGTTCGTGCACCTATGTCGCTCTTGGTCCCGCCGTCCGACGCTATTTAGCTGCCAAGATATTGGAAACTTTCGACCTTCTCCACTGCTTGCCCGCTACCGTAAAGTTGGAAGGGTTGCCCGTGTTGATATCCAACGATTTGGTCTTGTTGACGTTGATGGTGAGACCCGCCGCAGAGGAGCGTTCGGCTAGGTCATTGAGCTTACTCTGCATATCAGAGCGCCGTTGTGCTAGTAGAGCAACATCATCAGCCAAATCGAAGTCGTTGAGATGCTCCATGGTGATAGGCTGCCAAAGTAGCCCACGGTTCGGTACACGGTCAATTGCACCTACCATGATCTCGTCGATTACGATGAGAAACAGTAGCGGTGATAGTATACATCCTTGTCTCACACCAGCGACTACCCGGATAGGGTCGAACAAGGCTCCGTTATGCAGAACTCTGCACGTGAAAACCTCATACTGCGCTTCGATGAGTTTGACGATTTTATCCGGGACTCCCTTGCGTCTCAGGGCGCCCCACAGATTCTCGTGATTGAGACGGTCGAAAGCTTTTTCGTAGTCAATGAATACCAAATAAAGGGACTCTTGGAATTCATTGACCTGCTCCAGGATGATGCGGAGCGTGACAATATGGTCCACACAAGATCTTCCGTCGCTCGTCTCCTGTATCCGATTCAGGATAACTTTGCACAGAACTTTGAGAACAATACACATTAACATGATGCCTTGCCAATTGTCGCACAAAGTCAGATCCCCCGTCTTTGGGACCTTGACTAAGATGCCCTGCATCCAGTCGGCCGGAAAAGTCGCGGTGTCCCAGATATTACAGAATAGTTGATGCAACATTTGTGCGGATAGCATGGGGTCAGCTTTGAGAATCTCTGCTGATATGCGATCAACCCCTGGAGCCTTGTTGGATTTCATGCTTCGGATAGCTGCTTCAATCTCCTGCAGTGATGGGGCCTCGGAATTGACGCGAGTGATGCGCAGCACCCTAGGCGGATCAGACCGAGATGTTGATGGCTGGTTGGCCGTCGAAACTTGAAGAAGTTGTTCGAAGTGCTCAAACCAGCGTTTCAGCTGGTCAGTGGGGTCGGTAAGCAATTGTCCAGTCGTGTCCTTCACTGGAATCCTCGGGTTCATCCATGCTCGACTCAAGCGTCGTGAGATATCGTAGAGGAGGCGTATATCGCCAGTGTTTGCGGCTTTCTCCTCTTCGTCGGCCAGGGAGTCCACCCACGCTCGCTTGTCCCGTCTGCAAGAGCGCTTGACTTCCTTCTCTAGAGCCGAGTACCGTTGACGGGCTTCGTTCTTGGCTCCTCTGCTTCTCGCCCGCTCTATCGCGGCTTTTGCTTCTCTACGCTCCTCAATCTTCCGCCAGGTTTCGTCTGTGATCCACTCTTTCCTCTGGGTGCGCAGCTCGATGGCCGTCCATTGTTCTTCTACGCTGCCACCTTCTGGAACGTACGCAGCTCGAGTCTCAAGTTCTTCAACAAAAAAAAAACTTTTTACCGCTGGATCTTCAAGTCGGCGTGTGTTGAACCGCCGCCCGAGTCTCTCCTCCCGTCGCTGGATCCGCGCCATGCGTAGGCGGATTTCACCGATTAGAAGGTGATGGTCAGACACGATGTCAGCGCTGCGTTTATTCCAGACATCAAGAAGGCTCCGTCTCCATTTTCGGCTGATGCAGATGTGGTCGATCTGATTTTCGGTATGTCCATCACGGGAAACCCACGTGACTTTGTGCACTGGCCGATGGGGGAAGAGCGAGCCCCCGATCACCATGTCGTTATTGCCACAAAATTCTGCAAACAGCTCACCGTTCTCGCTCATTTCGCCGAGACCATGGCGTCCCATGACACGCTCATAGTCCGTGTTGTCGGAGCCGATCTTCACATTGAAGTCGCCAGTGTAGATCTTGATGTCACCCTTTGGAACCTTATCCACGACAGCATTCAGTTGACTGTAAAAATTCTCCTTGTCCTGTAGCTTGGCAGCATCGGTTGGTGCATAACATTGGATTATGGTAAGGTAACCCGTGTTCTAAATCTGGCAACGATTATCCTCTCATTAACAGACTCCCACTTGATGAGCGCAGCACTTGCCTTGCCTAAGTAGGAGACCAACTCCACGATGGCGGGGAGCGTTTTCACCTCGAATACCAGAGTATAGTAGTACCTGTCCCGACGACAGTTTGTGTTCTCCAAAGTTTGGCCAACGAACTTCACTCAGTCCCATGATTTCTAGCTTCATGCGTCGCGCCTCGTTGGCGAGTTGTGCCAGTTGATCCTGCTGGGCTAACGTCAATACATTCCATGATCCAATTCGTGTCCGTTGTTTTGCGCTAAAACTCGTTGCCGTTAAATCAGTTCGATGTCTTTCTCTGTTGGTTTCCGTAACAAGTGTAAAGGTTTCAGAGACAGTAGGTGGTTGGCCTAAGGTCAAGGTGGCCTATCCGCCGTGATGGGACTGCCATCTTAGGTGTAGCTTCCGGGGAAGAGCATTTCTTATTCATCCTCTGGATGTCAGTCAGACGCTGTTTGAGCCGCACCTCCATGATGAACAGACGCTCGGGTTGGCGAAGCATTTCCTCTATCACCGTGCTATGGTTACCGCGCCAGTGTTCCTGTCGCACCTCCTCATTCTGCTATTGTCGGATTGACAACATTGCCCAGGCTACGCCAACCAGCTATGTCCATGTTTCAGCTGGCAGTCTTTTATGATCATATGACTCGTGGAGGCGTGAGGTAGGAACTTGTGAGGACCGGAGCAAGGTATATCGCTCCTTCCAGATTGTCACTCACCATTTTGTAGCCCCAGTGAATACATTGAACAAGCTAAAATTTGATTTGCGTTATGGAAACAACAGTTAGGTGGGTCATCATGATACATTTTTCAGGACAATGTTTTTTTTGTTCCATTTGTGATCATAAACATCTTTGCAAATTTTGGGGACGATTGGTTGTAATCCAGCTTTCCGCATGTCATTGGAAATTTGTATGAAAATTAATACGGAAAAACCTACTTTTGTGCATTTTCATCCCTAGAGACCACAATTTACTCAAACCATGCAACAAATCATATAAAAATATAGTCCATATAATGCCTAACATCTTTAATGGAGAATGAACGGTGCTAGAATGTTTCCAAAAAAGTTATAACTGTTCAAATATTTATAGTTTGAATGTTGGTTAAGAACACAAATAACTTGTTGGGTGATGGAGTAATCTATATTGATATCATTTTCATAAAGCTATTAAAAAAAACCAGGTTTGTAGCCACTTTAGGGCAAAATCCAAAAAGGCGTTTTCTTAGAATTTAATTATAAGCATTTTGTCAAAGTTTGATTGAATTCTTTTTGTTTGACTTTATTAGAGAAATTTTTAGCCATAAAATGTTGTTGTATAGCCCACCGTCCTTAAGGAAATAAATAACTGTCGCTAAAGTGGAAGGTTCGTCGCCCAGTATGTCCCTAATGCTGTTGGGAAGTGCGTACTGCTCCCGTAGTTGTTGGTATTGCGGACACAGGCATAGGATGTGTTCCACCGATGCAGTGGTTCCGCAAACGTAGCACATTCTGGGGAACTGCGTCCCACCAAAACTATGTGAGATCCGTGTATGGCCTGTCCTAAGACGAGAAACCACCTTCTGGTCCCGTAGTTTCGACATATCCGTCCACTTGCTCGTCGTTCCTTTAATTCTTCGGATGAAGAGAAATTGGGATTGGCACCACTCTGCCCAGGCTTCCCACATTTTGCTGACTATCCATCGCTTTACGTGTAACGGGGGCCAGCTGGTCCAGACCCTGCCAGGCTGTCGGCTTCGCTATTTCCTGGGATACCGCAGTGCCCAGGGATCCAGGAAAACACCGTGTTCGGAGGAGTGGCCTCCACAATACCCTGTATCCAGGGGTGAGTCAGGGTCTCAGATGTAAGGGCTTGTATCACGCTGTACGAATCGGATAGCACCAGTATGGGCCGGTCCGAGGGTGTTGTAACGGCAACAAAGATGGCCGCAGCTTCAGCGGAGAAAACCGAGCATTGTGGTGGTAGGCTGCTACTCATCGGTGCTGAAATTCCGGCTACTCCAATTCCGACCCCGGCTCGGGAAAGCGATCTGTCCGTGTATATGTGGGCATGGGTTGGGTAGTCCGAGCCTAGCAGTTTGGCTACTGTTCTCCTCAGCGCTGCAGAGTTATCTCCAGCCTTAAAGCTGCTCTTTATCCGACTTTCGATTTTTGGTGCAGGTATGCGCCAACTTTTGTCTCCGTACCAGTGAACCTTGGCCACTGGGGAGAGCTCCAAATTGGCAGTCATACGGATGAGTTTGTTCCCCTCATCGAGGAGAAAGATCCTGTCATTTCCGGAGGTCATTGCTGTAAAGGCAGCGGCTTTCGATGCAATTGCTGCGGTTATACGATGGCGGAAGGGCTGAATACCCGCTTCGATGCATGTGGCATCGGCGGGCGTTGACGGAAGAAGACCGGAGACAATCCGAACGTAGGTGTTGAAAGTTGGTGCTAGTATCTGCACGAGCTTTTCGGTGGCGATGCCCGTCATCTCAAGACCGTACAGTAGGCGACTATCGATGACGGCTCTTGCAACCCGGAAACGAGTGTCGCGATTGTTAGACCGGTCCTTCGAAAACTCCGTTCATGGCCACAAGAAAGAGGGTAACGGCGATAACTGAACCTTGTGGGACACCCGTCTCTTCTCTGAAAAGCTGGGACCTCGTGTTGCCAACTGCGACTCTGAAAGAACGATCGGTCAGGAAATTTTTGATGAAGAGGACCATGGGTCCACACAGCCCCCAGTTGACAAGCTGTTCTAAGACGAGGGGCGTCCACGTCCTGTTAATTATCGTTGGAACTCTTGAGGACCTCCCCTAATGTTGCGAAGTAAGTTGACGTTCCGTACCCTTGTAGCTTGTTAAAAAGCTCCAGCATCCGTAGCTGGCCTGGCGTTGGTAGCCTCTTGAGTAGAGGGTACCCGATTTCGTCGGAACCCGCCGACTTTCCGTTGCTGCAGCCGAGGGCATGCTGAAATTCCTGCCAGGAGAATGCCTGGTTGATGTCCAAGCTCCCAGCAAAAGAAGAAACAGAGCAACTTGCAATGGATGACGAAGAAGGCTTAGCTTTCCGCTTGAATTCGTCTTCGTACCTACTTCTCGATGGCTGCGAGATCGGCAAAGTACGAGCAGAGTTCGTCCGCTACAATTGCAGGGTCAGAAACCGCTTCACCGTTAATCTGTACGTGGAGCAGTGTCATGCACCGTTTCCCACTGAGGGCGTTGACTTGCCTCTATAAGTCGGCCGAAGAATGCGATGAATTCATTCTTGCCATTAATTATTGAAAACGATGACATTGATCACAACTCTGTATACAGTTGAGCTGGAGTGACTTTTATATTGTGTGGCAAGTACAATCATAACACATTACAAATGGCGAATCGATCTATGGCAACGTTTCCAAACCTTCTATATGACCAGGATCATGTTTCCATGAGGCAGTCCCAAAGTTGGTTTACAAAATGAAAGCAAACCGATGTTAAAGATTGCAGTTCCTATCATAATGAAAACTCATTTTGATTTTAATTGTCACGAAATAAGTCCAATTTTTTAAATGAATGCAACTTAACTTGAAGTTCTGCTGATAACGTCTTGTTGCAAATTTAACAAATGATTATTGTCTATTTGTTTTGTAATTCGTGATTAGTCTGGATTGAGATTTGAACTCAAGTCTTTCAACGTGAGAAGCCAAGCCCATTTTTTTCCTTGATTTGTTTTCCGTTGATGTTGTTTTCCGTTCTGAGCACCAATGCTATCGACGTCAGGGAGGCAGCTCCCACACCTGGACCCTACCTATCAACCCATCAACTCATGAACCGGAGACCAACGGCTTTACTTCCCATTCGAAGGAAGGCGTGATCAGAGATGTTATGTCTCAGAATATCCCGGCGGCGCCGACTGGGATTGAATCCAGGTCTGCTGGGGTGAGAGGTAATCACGCTTACCAGTACACCACCGTAACATCAAATTTTGGTTTCAATTTGACCTCCAGCTTTGCTCGGGCACCCTTACCCCACTTGAACTTATTGCTTCATCATTTTTTGTTTGTTGCATGATAAAATATCATCAAATTAAAAGGACATTTCTTAAAAATCAATGGGGTTATGTGAAACATTCGAAAGATCAAAATTTACTTAATTTATTGCTGAAATGTTGTATGGATTTGTTTAAATTGTAATTTAGGCTTTGGGTGGCCATCAGCCAATCCAAACACATAATACAACCATCGATAAAGACAAAACGCTTGCTACTACTAACACGATAAACTCTCTCTATAATATAGCTGGAACGGAGTTGTAAAAGGATAATGACATATTTCTTGCCTGGTTGTTGGAATATACATGGTTGAGAACATAGTTTGATCGGAATCGAGAAATGCCATAGCGAAAAAAATCCTATTAACACATGCAATAATGGAATACTCATTAACAAATTGATATTTTTCCGCTCTCATACGCTCTCAATATCACGCGTGATATTGGAGCAAAATATCATGCTTGATATTGATTTTACGAGCTTTTACTATTCACAAAGTTACACCTCGTTTTCTTAGAAAGAGAAGGTATAATCATGCACTCTCTTTTTCTCTTCACCGATGGCAGACACGAATCGACTACTAACAGCCGTTATGGAAGTTTCGGTTGAGTTCGGGTGTAAGGCAAAAATCTTGTTCTTTGGTGAGATTCGATTTTTCGATATTTTTCCAACAGTGAACGCACGTGTATGATCTTCGGCTTTACTTCGTGAAGCAGCTTGCCAACAATTTGGTCGTTTCGTTCTACCGACCCGTGTGAGCTATACTCCAAAGGCCGTTTGTCATGAAAAAAGTAAAGAAGATTATATAATTATTGCTTTATATTGCTGTCATACCGTTATCTTTCGGCTCGTTGATCGCTTGTCATTTTGTCATTTTGAGAAATTGTTATTCCTTGGTGCCCATCAATTCCAGTCTTCCCCTGAACTTCAAACTTATGCAAATCCAACGTTTAATTAATTGATTTCCTTGAGAGAACCAGACCAACAAACATTTTAAAACTTGTATCAATGATTTGACTAATCTCTCTTTTTTTCCATTAATGATCGCCCAAGGGGATGAAATGCAAAGCTGTAGGTTGTACCTAGAGCTGGTATGGCCAAATACTTCAATTAGTAATGAAAGCACCGTATTCAAAGAAGGATTTATTTATTTAATCAGTCGTTTCAATTTCTCAGTACTTAGTGGTGTTGGTCAATGTTGGCATAGCTTTCTCCATGTGGGTGGTGAGCGTGTCCACTGCGCTGAACATGAGCCTGGAAACCGTGGTGATGGTCCGAGCTGTAGTCCACAACACGGTGGGTACCGTCGGCCTCATCCAGAGTATACTGCCCCTTGACGACATCTCCATCACGGTGCTCCCATTGGCTTTTGTGGTCGTGAGTGTGGCCATCCTTGACTCCGTACTCGAATTTGTACTTGGGATGAGAATGATGCTCGTCGGCTGCAACAACGGCGATAACCACACAGGCAACCAGAGCGATGACCTATCCAATAAAGATTCAAGAGACTCGAATTACAATTTTACCGCTTACAATGTAGGCTTGTGTTTTTTCACTAACCTTAATCATTTTGGTTTTAATGGAATGAGCTTGTACTGTTTGAACGGCTGATGTTTGACTGATGCTGACCAAGAATCACCTCAGAATATTTATACACATGCAGGTTCATTCGCCACTCAAACCGATCGCATTCAAATTTCCAATTAGCTTTTCCTCATGACATGCAACTCACCACGAATTTAACCATCATGTGTACTTTGCTTTCGGTTTCATGGTCAATCGATGCTGCTGCTACCGGTGCACTTTGCACTAGGTCAGTGGTGTGGTGGAATTTCGAGCGCACACCTTGCGGAAGGTAAGTAAAAGCAACATCGCATGCTCTTCATCGTTCATCTTGATTGGCCTTGTCCGGAATTGAAAATATGAAGTTGCGTTTCTTTAGCGTTTCACTCGCATGGAAATGATTCGCACATATTGAAGAAAGGCCAAAATGCGGGGAAGCAGTGTGATTGATTTGATTGATGCTCAACAATGTAGTTTGATCCGAAGTTTGCACCCTGATGAGTTGATCCATTAATGTAACCGTATGAAGATGACTTATCGTGAAAGAGGGGAATTAGTTGATAATTCTACAATTAAATCAATCGAAAATTATTCCAACAATATGTGGTGGGTTTACTTATCAACCCCCTGTTTCCTATTGCCCATTTGATCTATATTGAAGTCTTCAACAACTGTGCCAAATTTGATTGTGTTTGGTTGCGATCTGCATTTGCGGAACAACTTCGTAGTTTGCAAGGGAAACAGAGAGAAATGATTGTCAATAATTTACACATTGCTCAATATTGCCCTCCCTTAGCTCAGTCGATAAAGGCGCAGCTTTAAAGCAATACCATGCTGGAGGCGACTGGGTTCGATTCCCGATCTGGTCTAGCAATTTAACGGATTGAAAAATTTCTTAATTTCCCTGGGCCTAGAGAATGATTGTACTTGCCAAAATTATACTTATGCAAAAATGGTACAGGCTTAGAAAGGTATCAATTAACAATTGTGGAATGCTCAAAGAACACTTAGTGGAGGGAGACGTAATAAATCCAAACAAGAAGAATGTAATTATGAAAAATAAAGAATGTACACATGCTTATCTTTTAGAATATCATGTTGACAAAATATAACCGGCTTTGAACAAGCTTATCTAGGCTTCATTTTTAACTGAGCAAACTTTTTCCTTCTCTCTGTAATTTTTTATTTTGCACATAGGTCTTCTCCTACTCGATAGTGATGTATATTTGTATGGGCGAACCTTTTTTTCTAGAAATCATCGAGAGAAGTCATTGTATACGAAAGCTATTACGCCCTCATTCCAGCTCTCTGCTAGACAATTTTCGTGACGCCAGATGTGTTTCTTGGATGCCAGAAAAGCATGGCATGGATGTGTGTACGGTGGGCATGGATGCCAGAAAAGAAAAATGTGGGCATGGATGCCAGAAAAGAAAAATGTCGAGGAAATATTTATTCTTAGCAAATAATATGGAATCATTTCAAGTACCGTAATCCAGGGGCCAATTGATCATAACGTCATGCGTGTTTAGTCAACTCGTAGAAAATTTTAGGTGATAGATAGAAAGTAAAATCTTGATTATATTTCATCAAGGGATCCTAGTAAAGGCTGACTAAAAGTAAATTTGTACGCCCCTCGCAAGCCGCTAGCACGGCTCTAGTGTTGGGAATCGAAAATCTTTGACAGTGGTTTGTTTACACTTCTTTACACGCTAACTTGAATATGGGGCATGAAGTAGTTCGCCTCCTCGTGGTGTGCCCTGGAAACGTTAATTATCGAACCCAAGGGAGAGATATTGCGGCTAAACGAACTACAGCAGAGTAAAGACGCTGGAGCCCCATCCAGCTCGTCCCAGGAGGTCGATAAGCCCTGCACAAACCCTCGTTGTGCAAAGGCAGGAGTGACACCGGGTTCTTAGAGTGCTTAGCACACGCAGCTGGTAAGCGGTCACATCTGTCCTGTGCTGCCGTGGACAGTTGGCTGGCTATCACGTCTGCTCTAGAACTCAGACGAACAATTAACAGCGAACAATAAGAGGAAGGCCCTGCACAGCTGCTCACCAGTGATGGAAAAGTTCGCGAAAACTCACTATGACTCGCGAACTTTTCCCTTGGTGAACTTCGTGAAATATCGCGAACTTTTCCAACACTGCTGCTCACTGTGCAGTAACGAGTGTCACGTCTGTGACACACCACAAGTCTGGTGCGCCATAGCGCAATCGGCCCCCTCGTGCAATGCTTTCGGGCGGTTCCGGGGAGGGCAAGGGCCAAGAGCAAAGGTTTAGTGGGTCGGGAGCGCTACTTCTCCCATCCCCACACCCTGAGTTATCTTCTCAGGTGTCTGGGAGCAAAATCCACAATGTATAAAAAAAAAAAACGCTAACTTGAATGTACCAATTAAATGAGTACATTTGACACATTTTATGATATTATTCCAAACTGTCAAAAAATTGGTTTTTTTCAAAAAATGAAAAAAGGGTAATTTTTAATAATTTGTGAAATTATCTTCTTGCGATAGAAATGGGTAAAAAAAAGGGTTTGTTGAAGTGAAAGTGCAAAGTGCTTTGGAAGTTCACGGACTATGTCCTGCAAATTGGTTGGAATCCGAGCGATAAGTACCGCGTTTCAAAAAAATATGCGGCAGCAGATTCCTTCCTGTCGGTGTTGATTGAGGTGAAAAAGGTGATCAGGTAGTTACATTATTCCCATAAGAGTCAAACCGCAAACGTAAGTGTTGGGGAAGATCAGCACAGAACTTCTGGGTGCTTTCAAGAACCCAGTATAGTGCTATGAGGAATGTAATTATGATTAAATTTAGGTATGTATTCTAAAAACTGACGGTCCCGTTTCAGGTAAGCAGGTTAATAGTGGGTTCAGAAAATAAAACGATGTTTATATGCCCAGGAATCCAAATCCGATTGTTCAACGAATAGATGCAACTTCTTTACCCTACAAATTGTACAACAATGTCTACAACTTACTGCAACACTCGCATATTCCAGTACATAGGTTAATTCAAGTGTTTTTGATTACCAATGTGATTATGTTTAATAAAGACTATGAAGTGTTTTAATGATTTTAGTTTCTACAAACGTTCAAATCCCTTATATTTCTCTGTGCTTATATTTAATGACAGCCAGCTCAATAAAACAAATAAAAATAATCTATAATACGGGTACTTTTTACTCATTTACAGAAAAACCAAGATGATTAAAAACAACTCATTTTATGACGTATTATTCGAATACTCATTAATGAGTAAAGTTGCTTTTACTAATTTCATGAGTTAGGCCACTTTTATTCAAAATGAGTTAAATTTTACTCATGAATGAGTACTTTAGAGTTAGCGTGAAGAGAACAACTGGTGCAAGTTTGATCAAAGTAGTCGAACGCGTTCAGAAATAACGTCAAATGGAACTCGAAGGAAGTAAAAATATTAGTTAGTGCGTTAGTGTTAGTGTTGTTATGATATACTTCGTAGATTGGATACTAGCGACACTCACGTCTCTTCTGAAATTCTCAGTTAGACTACTTTCAGGAATAATGCTGGGGAGTAAACATTGGTTCCAATCTAAGCAAGAGTAACATAAGCATAACTGTCGCTATTCCCGGCCACGCCCATCTTTACCATAACTAGGGATAGGGAAGGAAATGTTGATGTGGTACTTACTTAACGAGAGGCCACCGACTTAGCGACACCCTCATAAGTGCTACGGAGTTGGAGGGTTGGGTAGGGTATTCGGTTAGGATTCACCTCAAGTTGGCGATGCAACCAAAATTATGTATTGTTTATTTGTTGTTTATTTAATCTCTCGATAGCCGGCTATCGAAAGAACATATTCATTTTGTTTAGTGATCATGAATTTTAAGAGTCATGACGGAGAGCTTGGGATTAAACCCATGATTTTCTGCTAAGTAAACAAAAACGATCCCTCCAGGGTCATCGAGCATCTCAGAACCATAACGCTTCGCGACAATACAGGACTACGTTTTCGCTTGATATGCAAATAGTTTCCGAGGTTAATGTTCAATATCAAATATACAAATGATAGTGGCGATTTATTGTGCTGTGGAAGAGCTTGGGGTTAAAACCATGATATTCTACTCAGTAAGCAAAATCGATCCCTCCAGGGTCATCGAGCATCTCATAATCCACAGCGCTTCGCGTCAAAGTACGAATATATGGATGAACTATTTATTATTTAATATCTATTATTTACGATGATTACATGAACGAAATAAAATTTAAACTACAAACAAATCGTGACTACTAAAATCTCAAAAAGATATTCTTACAAATATATTTCACGCAACCAGAATCTCAAAACCATTAGACGCTATAATGATACTCTGCACATGTTAGACACAAGAAGAGGCCAAAAAGCAAGCGTCCGACACACAAAACCCGCCAAATCCACTTGCAGTCACAATCAACGATTCTACGAATTGCGAGCGCTCATGAATCATAAAACCGCCGACTGCGGCACTCTGAAATCGAAATTGACAGGCTCTATGCGTCAAACACCCGCCCTCCAATCTCCTTTCGCATCCAACAACACAAATCTCCATTACAACATCTAACGAATTCAAAACTCCGAAAATCTGCCTATCTTTCTATTGGACCTGTGGACATGCGTTAGCTCGACAAATTACAGCATGAACGTGGCTCTTTGAAAAGATGGTATCGAAACAAGTAAACAAATAAACTGGAACGAACTCACCAAATGAACGATGGTTTGCACGTGAAGCCAATACTTGAAAGGCTGTTGCATCTCTTAATTCTAGCTAAACATTTCATAACATTCCTTCGGATCTCCAAAGAAGCTCTTGCACCTGCTTCCAATCAGAATCATCGATTATGATAAACGAAAACACTGTGGAATGCATTTCCAACCGATCACTTTCACTGTCTTGCACTAAAATTAGAAAACGCCAAGAAAAAATAAAACCGTAAATTTGACACTCGGAAATTTTTTTTTTCGCATCCGTACAGAAGCAGAGCACACTTC